ACAGCCATAAGATAATGTCAAAAAAGAGATGTCAACAGAGACTATCATGAAACTAGTGATTGATCTCTCCGTGATTGATTCAAGATGTTATATATGCTTTTATGGGCGGTATTCATACTACGTTTTTATTTCTGTCTTACGTAATGTCTTAAGACACTAATGCCCGCATTCATCATCAGTCTTGTACTAGGCTACTTTAAATTTATCTTTAGATGCTCAATAGCCAATGAAATAATTCGTAGAATATCTGAAGATAAATTTAAGGAAGCCTTAAATATAAGCCTGACTATAAATATAGGAATAAGACGGCTCTCTGATTGGTTACTAACTTTTTTAAGATTGCACTTAAGTCAGACTACGTTCAAAGCCGTGACACACATCTTCCATAACAATATCCATAAGATGTACCGTAAGAATCAGCCAATTAGACTTAAGAGTTCAAAAGAATTCTCGACTGTTAGCTCATTCATAGCTGATTAGCTTATTCTTAATATACGTCTTATAGTTACTGTTACAAACTGGTGTGTGTCATAGCCTTTAGGACTGTCACAAACAAAATTTCTGTAATAGTAACCTTAAAACATGAATCTTAAGCTGATGAGTCAATCAGGATACTGCTTTACATCTATGTACTCTGACGGAAATAGAAATAGCAGTAAACTTATCCAGCGAGTTTCAACCGATTGAAATTCATCTTATTGCGAGGTTATGGATAAGTTTACTATTATTTCCATTTAATCCTGATTGGCTCATCGGCTTAAGTTTACGTCACTATTCTAGAATTTTGTGTGCGGCTACCCTTATAGGGCATCCCAGTCAGAAATGATAATCTAATCAATGTTGATTTGATGTCGATTTGATGTTTTCGACATCGATCGACATCAAATCGATGTCGATTCCATTATCATTTCTGATTGGAATCCTTAGGCCCGATTGCATCAACGTTACTTTAATTTTAAGCGAGACTTAAAACTCTGTTTCTATCTTTTTTTCAGTTTTAAAATAAGATAGAGAGAGTTTTAAGTCTCGCTTAAAGTCAAAGTAACGTTAGTGCAACCGGGCATTAGTCGGATTTAATAACATCTGTAGTTATGAAAGTGACCAATCGTAGCTATTCCTCTAAAGAATGGAGTGACTGTGATTGGTTAATTTTCAGTTACGGGTATTATTAAACCCAATCAAGGATGATCGTGTAAACGTAGTCATTGACTTGACTAGAATTTTCCACTCGTGGGACATAGATAGTATATAAACCGTCTGTTATAATCAGAGTTATATTCTGTTTTTGGCTCTTGATTATAACATAGTTTTCTAAGTCTTGAATTCCACAATACAACTTATTGTTAACACAGGTATCATAATTTATAGTGAAATTTATTATTTAGAATTAAGAGCTATTAACATTATTAATGAATTTCACATTTAATACAATAGAATCTGGAAATTATGTGTTTCAATAAGTTTGATTTACCGTTGTGACAAAAAAAGATAATTGACATCTGGAGTGCTTATGATAGTTTGGACAAAATTTAAAAAAAAACCTTAGCGTCAATCTCTTCGAAAATAAAAATGTAATTGGGCTTGGAATATTTAATCTCATTATTATTACGTGAATAAAATTTATTCGGAACTATTTGTTTTTAGCATGTAGGAAAGTTATTACACATTTATTAATTTTTTAATATATTTATAATAATAACTGAAGATAGCCCGATATAAGGCCGAAACGTTTATTTTATTGTATTGTTTTTATTTTATTGTAATCTATTAAAATATAAAATTTAGCTATTAATATCTTGCGCTCATAGTGTACGCTTTTTTAATCATATTGTTTTAAGTTTAATCACGTTTTGATTTCTATTGTAAAAATAATAATAATGTTAAAAATAATTAAAAGGGTAATTATCACTATTTATTTTAGAAAAAACTCAAGTTTGAAGAAATGTAAAAAATCTTATTTTTATTTTTGCACTAAAATTACAAATAAAAATGAAATAAGAGGGTCGATCTTCAGGGTCTTGATCTTATCAAATGTTATCCAGGTCGTAATCATGAACAATATTCAAAAGGTATAAGTATTAGCCGTCGGTCAGATATCTTGGATCTTGAATGCTAATGCCGATAATGGTGCTGTAACTTGCAAGCTTTAACTCGAAAAATACTTAATGAAAATGAACTTAATTTAACGTTTTAGAAACCTCTCAAGATGATCTACAAGAATGTACAACAAGAAGTAGGAGGTTCCATTTAAGAAATTGAAGATAACCTTCAGATGATCTTCAAGCAATTATTCAAAGTCAAACTAATTATATAATCTTATGTCTTTCTCAAAGCTATACAACTTTTGTCTGAAACATTTTTTTCCAAGATCAAAAATAAGAAAGTTGTTGAAGCTGGGACATTAAAATGGGACACTCTATATATGATTATACATGTTTATGAATATTTATGTATGTTTATACATATTTATATATAATCATGCATAAAAAATTTTTTACAGGATTTTTTATTCCCTGTTTTTATTGCCTGTGCTTTTTATTGTGTTTTCAGCTATACTCTCAATATATCACTTAATGTTCTACAGTAAAATATTATAAATCGCATTTTAATTACGATATTCATAATCAAGAAAGTTACCTAAAATCGCTTTATGAAACGATTTATACACATTTATATTAAATGTATAAGACGGTATTATTTTTGGGGAATGTACATTTGCAAATGTATATCGTTCATTTCAGGAACATCTACAAAATATATAGTTTTCTAGTATATGTATTATATCTATTGAGTTGCATTGCGTTGTGTTGCTCTATAGAGCTTTTTCACACAATATAACAAATATAATACATATACTAGAATTAAAATTATATATTTGTAGATGTCCCTGAAATGAATGATATACATTTGCAAATGTATGTACAAATGTACATAGTCCCCGAAAGTAACATCTTATACATTTAATATAAATGTGTATAAACAAAAAAGACGCATTATGTACACTTCAGTGAGTGATTCCGCGTTTATGTATATCAAAAAAACAGTGTCAGTAGAAGTCCCCAAAAATTACAATTAAAACACACACACACACACACACACACACACACACACACACACACACACACACACATCAAAATATGAAAATAAATTCATAAGTCAAAAGAGATTAAGTGATAATAATTTCCTTCTTTATCATTTTTGCGCAGTCTTTAAGCTTTAACCATTAAACATAGACAAATTACGACCTCTTCAATCAAGGTTGAGAACTTAACCTTATGTTTACTTAATTATGCAACTTATATGTGTAATTTACATGTATAAGAAATAAATTTTATATTAAAGATCATAACAAAAAATTGTTAATATTTATCACTATTGATATCCATAAAAAGAAAACTAAAAATTATTTTGTACTGATGTTATTACATAGAAACAAAATGTTTACATATTGATATCCATAAGGTTTAAACTAATACTTTTACACAGACGTCACAAAAACATACTTGCTATATATTATTATAGTCTTTAGTTTATGTTATTAGGTATACAACTTTGCTTCCGCCGTTTTTTTTCCGAAATTCGAAGCTTTATTGTAAAAAACTGGTTATACATTTATGATTCAAAGTATTGTCCATCGCTGGCCACTACTTTCTCCCATCTTTCGGGTAGCGTACGAATCCCGCGTCGAAAAAACTGGTCATCTTTTGAGGCTATCCACGAATCGATCCAATTTTTTACTTCTTCAGACCGGAAGTGCTGGTCAGCCAGGCCTTGTGCCATTGATCGAAACAAGTGATAGAGGGAGCAACGTCTGGAGAATATGGCGGATGGGGTAGGACTTCCCATTTCCAAGTATATCTTGACCACTTTCGCAACATGGGGTCGAGCATTATCATGCTGCAAAAACGATTAAAAGGAGTAAAATTATTAGGGTCTCTGAACATATAAGGGAATATTGAAGGATAATAAGAAGAAAAATATATAATATAACATTAAAACCTAATAGATCTTTAAAGGTAAAGGGGTGGAATGGGATTTTATAAAGATCTCTATTTATTCCCGTAAGATTTGAAGATACTGGAAGATGTAGAAAGAATAGTTGGAATATAATAAATAAAAGAATAATGAAAAGTAGAATGAAGTGAAAGGAGAAAAATCGGTTTAGTGTAGAATTATTAAATGAAAATCTATCTCAAATTCATATGACTAATGTATTTTCAATATACGGGATATAAGATTAGTAGATATAAGATTAATAATTATTGTAACTTCCCAGAATATTTCATCATTATTAGAATATACATCCTCAAGGATGTACATAGCCAAGGAAAGTTATAGCTATTGAAAGTAAGAAAATTGTTTCACCAGATATTCAGGTATATGTTAAGTTAAGAGAGTTGTAATAGATATTTCGTCCAATGTGTAGGTATATTCAGATAAAGAAAAAAAAGCTCCATTTATATGGATATTACGTATAATTCAGCGATTAGGTACATTTTGGATAATATGAATGATTCTATTCAAGATTACAATTGTAATATTATGGCAGTAATGAATTGAGAGAAAAAGACCCCTGATGTTTTGAATTAAGAGAAAAATACCAAGTAAGGAACCGAAGTTTCATCAGTAGGAGATATTAATAGGTGAGGGGAGATTAATTAGAGAGTGGTTAATTATTTTCGTAATTTTTTTCATATTTTTATTTTAGTAGATGTAAAAAATAAGGAAAATAACATTTTTTGAATAAATGTAAGAGTATTTTATATAATATAGGAAATTGTATTAATTTTATTATATAAGATATAAAGAAAAATATAAATTGATGATAATATTATTAAAATAA